ATATTGTTTATAACCATCATCTTATATTTCTAAAATATTTATGTAAAAAACTGGTTTAGTATATTTATCAAAAGGATGTATGCGGTGTGATTTGGTGCGGTTGAGAGTCAAATGGTAAAAGGAAAAATGACAAAACTAACCATTTTATACAACCCTCTTATACAAAATAATCAGTTTTTAGGGGTTTTACAAAACTAACCACACGGATCTCCCCCAGGGGAGATCCGTACTAGTGGGGGGCGATCCGGCCGTTTTCTTAGAATTTTTTTTAAAATTTCTTTTTTTCCACTTAGGGCGAGTCACGTCATCGGATCGCCCCCGGGGGAGATCCAGCCACTTCGAAGATACACACAAACATCATCACTTTGACGTGATTTCATGTTTTGTGATGATTGATTATGTTTAATGGGTTAAAAATTGTGAGAGTATAATATATGAGAAGAGAAATGAAAGGGAATGTGTGAAAAATTATGAAATAGGAGGTTGATATTTATAGTGAAATTGGTATTAAAAAAAAGAAAAAAAAAAGTCTGGATCTCCCCCGGGGGCGATCCGATGACGTGGCTCTCCCCAAGTGGAAAAAAAATTTTAAAAAATAATTTCTAAGAAAAAGGCCGGATCGTCCCCGGGGGAGATCCGTATGGTTAGTTTTGTAAAACCCTTAAAAACTGGTTATTTTGTGTAAGAGGGTTATATAAAGTGGTTATTTTCATCATTTTCCCATGGTTTAATGCACATGCATATGCGGTTCTAAAAAAATTCCTACATTGTAAGCCAGACTGTATATATGCCTTAAACTGTGCGTGAAATGCGGTAGCGGTAAGGTCTGGTGGCTGGTGCAGTTTATGCGGTTTGTACCTAATAGTTCCATCCAGTGATTATAGAATTATAACTTCAAAATGAATATTCGTTGATGATGTTTTCATATTCCATATGATAAAAAATTCTCATATGTACCAGTGGGTAACTAAAAATAATGTAACACAGACTAAAAGGGTTCAATAATTAATCTAAATACATCTCGAAAAAAAAGTTAATTTCAAAATAAATTCGACATCATGTTTGACAACATACAAAAATAAACAACTCATTAAGGAATCTATAAACAAAATTGTAAAATTAATAGATAATCAATAATATATTAACTACTGTCAATTAATATGTATATATGAAATATATTTATTTAAAAAATAAACAAAAACATGCGGTGAAATTTTATTTAAACTGCACTTTGATCATCAAAATCATAAGCCAAACTGCTAAATACGATTTTATAAAAATATAAACTGTATAATATAAACCTGAGAAGATAAAAAATAAAACTTATTACTTTCGTAGGATGATTACTAATTGTTACCTTTTTTCTGATTTTGTTCAATAATAAAAAATGAAAATCGTAACAAATTTATATAAAATAATGTTTTACAAGTCTATAAAAAATATTAGTTTCTAGGGTTAAAAACAATATTGATTAATTTAAAATTTAATTAAAAATTATAAAAATATTTAAAGAATGAACAAGCTAGTATACAAGGTTCATGATTGTGGTATGTACACACACACACACAATAAATATATATATATATATATATATATATGTATGTATATATATATATGTATGTATATATGTATGTGTGTGTAAACATGTATAAGATCCTATTCAGCCCATCCTTATAACACCAAAAGTTATATATATTATAAAGATATATAATTGATATTTAAGCCTTAACAAATCAATTAACATGTCCCATAAAATGTGTACACAATCCAAAATAAAAATTATATATCTCAAGACAAGGGTTTCGTATAAATTTTAATTTAGGTCAATGTTTAGGCTACATTTCACGACTTTAGAGACTTTGTTTTCAAACGACAATGATGGTGTAGATGTTACAACGTAATAACGATGTATTCAATCTTAGCACGGTAGTTGATTTTGTTATTGTATTGTACTTTGATTGCGAGGCTTTTACATAGGGTATGTAATTGGTTGGAGAATTGAAGTAGCAGTGTCATAAATGAAGTAGGTAATAAGGCACACAATTAAGATCAAAAGTATAACGTATTCAATATGGCAAATACTTTAATTTGACAAGGAAAGAATCCACCTGTTGAAATGGACGGCTATTATTTCTATAAGACATGCTTAAACGTATTCATCAACGAATATTCTTTATTATATGTTTTCTCTCTCTTATTTCCCCAATTAAGTGCGGATTTGTTCTGATTAAAAACCCGTATAATTAATAAACAAATATACATCGAAGTTGATGGCTTTATGGTCGTCATGACTCATTTTCTGCATTTAAAACTATTTGTAGCGTTGTCAAAGAACATTCATCGACCATTATCTATAGTTGATGATCTTGCTTACAATATTATCGCAAGTTGTAGATAACTCTGAGTTATGGGTTAACTTATTAAACCGAATAACTTCAATGTTTGATTAGTATTTGACAGAAATAACTATTCATTATAACAAATTTTCAAATATTGATTATCAAGATAAGAAGTAATGGTCAATATAGAGAAAAAAAGAGTCATAGATCAACAAAGTCACATATGCTACACCATGCACCTATTTTTCTTTTTTACTATTCATTGACTCATTGAGTCAGTCAGTCGTACGATAATCAGCAAAAACATTTTTAAGTGGTTCCTCTCATAATGGTCTCTAAGAGACACAATAGTCTATTACAATATTAGTCATGCTTCGGAAACTTCTTTTACTTGCCAAATGGAAGACTTCGATTACTTAAGGTTCTTTTAGGAGCAGCTATTCATGACGCATATATTTTTAAGAGGTCTGGTAGAATAAAAATTTGTTTTCCCAAAATCTCATGCCTTATTTCCTGCCGTATCACTCATACGCATGTATATCATTAGAAAGAGAATGTAAACAAGAATCAAATAGAGTTAGATTAAATAAAAATCCAGCATGTATTTACATGATTGGTGGAATAGAAAGATGATAAGTTTTTGGAGATAACATATTTTTATTTTCGTGGTGTTAGGACTGTTCTTGATTTGTCAAAAACCAGTTCTCTCGCAGATCTGTAGCTGATTTGCGTCACTGATCATATATGTCGCTAATACTTTATTTTCTAGTAGTGTAAGTCATTGGTGGTTAGGATTGGCTTACTAATTGTAACTAAGTAATCAACCACGGTAAAGTGCTTGTGTACTAGAACAAATTCTCGTAGATTAATCATGTGCATGGACCATGGCAGGAAGGCATGCAACTCCATTAGCTCTTGATTGTTGATGTAAACACTAATTCTTTTTTTAATACATTTTTCATTTTAATATAAAATATAATATTTTACTTCTAATTTATAAAGATTTTTTTTTCACAAATACCTTATTTTTATTTGATTTTTATAAATTCAACTCAATATATATATATATATATTTTTGTTATAATAATTTTGTAAGTTATATGTATAATAAATTAATATTATTTTTAAATAAATAATAAACATGCATTAATTACTTTTTTAAATAAGTATGAAACATAAAACTGATATTTATTACATATCGTTTATTTAATACAAAATTAAGTTATAGTACAATATTAACAAAAATACAATTAAATGAATGAAAATTAAGTAAATATCAAATTTGAAGGACCATTTCATAATTAAAATGATTAAACACCAAATTAATATAAAAATAAATAGTATGGTATCTGGTGGATTCATTTAATTATCAATCAACCAAAGATATAATTAAATCAAATTTAATTCATTCCTAATGTTTTATATTCAAATTCTTTTGACTAATTTCACCTTTTTTTTTTCAAAAAAAACTTCTTGTGAACTTAATTTGTAACGAGTCTTTCATACTTGCTCAATTTTAAAGAAACATTTTGTAGAACCTATTATAACAAAAACTTGTCTGACGAAAAATCCTTAAAGTCTCTATTTTATTTATTTTAAGAAAACTATTAAAGATACTCTTACATCGCTAAAAAAACTAGCTAATCACTAATTGCATGTCTAAAATATCTTTCACGTTGATGATTAACGTAAACCGATATCAATATTCTTTTAAAGAAACAAAGGGCAAATTTGGAAAATAGTTAAAAAAAGAATTTTATAGGAGTTTGAAATTGGCCAAGTCCTTGTTATTTACCTTCTCGATGCACCATAAAACTCCAAAAAAATAGAAAGTTATCTCTACAGATTTGACCTCAAGTAAACTTTTGTTTTTTTCTTCCCAAACTAACCCTCTTATCATTTTCACTCCAATTTTACGGGAGCTATACTTTGACAATATGCACAAATTACCTTGTGAATATTGGTCTTCAATTTTCGATCTTTAACCCATTTACCTTTCAAAGTTTTATTTTCTAAAAAATAATCAAGTTTCATAAAAATTGTACATTTTAAAACTGGGGAATGAAAATGAAAATTACAGAGAATAAAAATAGAAATGACTTCTCATTCCTCCAGTTTAATCAGGAATGAAAATTTAGGCTTCTGAGTGAATGAACTCATTATATTATCTAAAATCAAACAGTTTATTTTATTATAGTTTCCATCAATTACTGTTTAATAACTCTAACCAAACACCCTCATAATCAATTCTTATATTAGACAAAATATTTAAAATGTGTCATTAGCCTAACATAAGATAGAGGTTTAAAAAATAAAAAATGTGTGTTATTTGTAATGGGTACTACATTTATTCAAAATATATAACTTTAACTATTTAAACCAAATTAATAAAACTTTGAATAAATGTAAGAAAATTAAATCATGAGAAATACTGTAACAGGCTTTTTAAGAGTTCGGTGCACGTACAAAATCTAACAGAGCTGACATCATTTTCAAAGCAATGACCAAATGATGACGTCATACAACTTCATTTCTAGTCTCTATATATAACATATTCTCTCCCTGCCATTTTGCTCCATCAAAGTGGCCTAGCAATCCTTTTAGCTTTTGCACAAGGATAACATAATCCCTCCCTCAATCTCAACTATATATTTATTATAAATGGAATATTCCGGTGACAGAAGTAGCGGCGCCACCTCACCCATGGCCATTTCCACCGCCGTACCCTCAAGTTTCTCACACTCTCACTCACCCAAAACTTCTAATAACTCCTCGTCATCTCAGCTTAGCCCCACTAGTGTTCTGACTCATCCTCCGCCGTCCACTCCTTCCTCGCCACCACATCCGGTGGTTCTCAGCCCTTGCGCAGCCTGCAAGATTCTCCGGCGGCGGTGCGTTGAGAAATGCGTCTTGGCACCCTACTTCCCACCCACCGAGCCGCTCAAGTTCACCATCGCCCATCGAGTGTTCGGAGCTAGCAACATCATCAAGCTGTTGCAGGTAATTAATACCAAAACAAATTACTAATTAACCCATGTCTTAAAAAATTAATATCATAACTAATCAACTCTCTTAACAAATTAATATGTAAACCAAGTATTCGTATTTAATTATTTTATTTATGTTTAGTCTCCTTTGAACGTGAAAAACCTGCTATCTTTTTGTGTGAAATCAAGACTTTTGACTGAACATTTCTAGTTACATGTTCAACAATATACAACTATACAATTCAAACCCGATATCGTTAAAGATTTCTTTAACAAGCTCTAACCATCCAAAAAAACCCTTTTTTTCATCCTAATTTTCTCGTATTAGAACAAGAAATCAAGTCTTGGATACAAAGTCGATGGTTTAGTTGTTATTATTATTTTCGGGTTAAAAAAGTAAACATTTTAACATTTAAAATCTAAAGTAAATGTACTGATTTTCTAAAGGAGTATCCTTCTACGTGGGCCATTCTTTGAACAAATGTGGTTCAAGAGTTGACATTTGTTGTGTAATATAAAAAACCAAAGAGATGGTGGTTAAAAGGGTAAATTAGTAATAGCAATTGTCACCTAAATCAAAACCAGTATCATTATACCACAATTAGTTGTAATTGTTCTCATTCTCTTCATATTTTTGGATTTAAAGATGGTAACTTGAATTGACATAATGTATGTGTTATATATAGGAACTTCCGGAGTCTCAACGAGTGGATGCAGTTAGCAGTATGGTGTATGAAGCAAATGCTAGACTTAGAGATCCGGTTTATGGGTGTGCAGGCGCAATTTGCCAACTTCAAAAGCAAGTAAGTGAGCTCCAAGCAGAGTTGGCCAAGGCGCAAGCAGAGGTGCTTAACATGCAATGCCAACAATCCAATTTATTATCTCTAATTTGCATGGAGATGGATCAACAACACGTATCACCATCACCACCCCAACCACCGCAACAACAACAACCACTTTATGACAATCTAAACTTCTACTCTGATGATGCCAATTTGGGCAGCGTGTTCGAGCTTTGGACATGAACCTAAAGACCCCCCTTCAAGAGTTGATGAACCAAGTTTGAAACTTGAACGGGCAAGAGAATGAGATATTTGATGACAAAAGTCAAACGTAGTTTATAAGATTTTAATTATACTTCAATTTACTGATTTGATAAGAGATGATAAAGAATAAAAAAGTTACATAGATGAAGAGGGGTAGAGGGAGAAAAGTGTCATTGTACTAATAATATGCCGATTCTTGATTTAAAATCAAGTTATGGGTGACCTAATTTTATCTAGTCTAATTTGTTAAATTCTTCATTTGGCTTATTTTGTCAAACTTGTTATTTGACTTAAAATAGTCATAAAATAGAGTTTTGACTATTTTTAATCTTAGACTTTTATATATACACACACACATATATATATATATATATATATATATAGGCCTATTCAAGGGAGAACTGAGTTGTTTGTGGTAACTGTGAGAACCAATATTAACCACAAATCAATAGATCAATTAGGAAATTTATAAATTTGGTAATTTTAAATTAAAATCTTAATGCAAGGATATTTTTGGTATTTTAAAACTCTCCTCTCTTCTCTCTTCGGCCACCGTCCTCCGGTGATACCACTATGATACCACTGTGATACCTAAAAATATTGACTCTGTTAAACAAAAGATACATTGTGATACCTAATCATATATAAGATGCATAGTGATACCACAGTGTTACATCTTCGATCGACCACACAAACGACATCAATGTGATACTCAAGCACATCTGTGATGCGTTGTGATACCATTGTAGTATCACCGGAGGACGGTGGCCGGAGGACGGTGGCCGGAGAGAGAAGAGAGGAGGGAGGAAAGTTTTAAAATACCAAAAATATATTTACATTAATATTTTAATTCAAAATTGCCGAAATTATAAATTTCCTAATTTATCTATTGACTTGTGGTTAATATTGGTTCTCACAGTTACCACAAACTAATTAGTTCTCATTTGATTAGACCTCTATATATATATATATATATAGATTTTATGGGTGATGACTAGACCAATTGGTCTAGTTGGGGTTTCATCCCATTTTTCAAACATGTGGAGCTTCTAAATAGGAAACAAGAGTCTTGGAGGGGTGTGAGTCACATCATCTAGTAAGGGCCAATAGTACATCACTATTACATCTTAAACAATTAAGCCAAAAACAACAATTCAACCATGCATTCATTAATCTAAAAATAAACTTAAAAAAAGTTTGAAATTAGAGTCATAAATAAATTGAAAATATGGAAACTAACTAACTATCTGAATGTATTATTTATAATGAATAATCTAAATGAATCATGAATATAATGCATTTTCGCAATTCATGATATCATATATATTTACAACAAGTAAGTTTCATTGTTAACAACTGTCGTAACATTTACTATGAATAAAATATGAATATTTTGGGTTTTTAGATTTGCAAATAATTTACGGTTTTTATTTGTATCTATCATAAAATATAGAGAATATATATATATATATGTGTGTGTGTGTGTGTGTAAAATGATGGTTTCAAACAAGAACAAAAAAGTTTAAAACTTAATAAACAATTTTTGGCGCTTAAATCAATGACTTAACTAATTTGATAATGACATAATTATAATAAATGGAAATTATACAGGACATTTTGTAAATGGAAAAGAAGTTAAAAGGGTAATTTGGTCAATTTAAAGGTCAGGCATCTCAACACCTCAAGTAAGGGGTCGTTTACTAAATGTTTATCCGGGTAAACACTTATCAAGTAACATTATCTCACTAGATGAATATGGTAAGGACCAAGAATCTTACCCGGTAAGTGAGAGCGACGAATTTTACCATGGTAAGCGCTTATCGTGTAAATTGTTGCATACGATGTCGTTTTGGTGGACTAAATCTTATCCGGTAAGTAAATAATAGTGTTATTACCGGCAAACACTTACCAGGTAAGTGTTTGGTAAACGGCCGCTAAGAGTTTGTTTTGAAACCTAATATACAATACTTAAGTCTTTCTAAACTTAAAATATTTAAATTATTATAAATTTGAATTAAACAATTTATAATATATATATTAAAAAATTTAATGGAAATTTTAAATTTGCACAACTAAGTATTCATATGTGAGTATGGAAAAGTTTAATTGTACAAATTTTTAAAACTTGGCTGAAAGTAGAAAATATGTTATAATACACGTATTAAAATTAAAGAAACAAAATACTATTTTTTTTATATAATTTGTTTGATTGAAACTTTGAATACAATTTATATTTTAGATGCTCAACCTATTTTTATTTCTCATTTGAAATTATTTTTCTCACTATAATATATATATATATATATATATATATACTTAATAATTTGAGAACCTATTAAATTGTAATAACTTTGAGAACTTATGCATTATGTGTTATTTTATATGATTTTTTTTTTCTATCTAGGCATAATATTTATTGTATTGATCAACATATATTTGTTTCACAGTGTGTTTGTTTTATATGTATTTGTTTCATAATGTAAAACTTTTTTTATGTGTATATTGTATTTCACAAACACGTAAAAAGGTTCACATTGTGAACCGAGCACATGTGAAACAAATATATATTTATCAATATTATAAATCTTAGTCTTAGATGAAAAAATATCATATGAAATAACAAATGATGCACAAGATTCTCAAGGTTATCATATTTTCATGGGTTCTCAAAATAAAGTCCACCTACCTACATATACGCAGTTCCTAATTATCCAATATCACCATGAAGCTTGAGACACAAATCAAATAAAAATTTGCTAAAGTTAGAAATCAAAAAATAATCTAATGAGTTTAATTTTTAAGCTATATTATTTTAAGTGTTTGTGTTTGTGTGTAAGTATGAGTCTGTCTTTCATGTATGAACCTATTTTTATGTTTCTTTTAAATACGAAACATTGTATGAATAATGCATATTCATACATACATATATACATACACATAGACTAGTTTTTACAGTTTCTATTGAATTTATCCCCTGTATACACATACATATATGTATATATATATATATATATATATATATATAACATTTTAGTAACACTACAATATCTGAAATATCATACACTATATTAAACAAAAACATGGAAAAATAGATTATTGGACGCAAAGCTGTACATATAAGTAATAAGTTACACAAGTTGGATTTTGCACTCCATGTCTTTTTCTATAGGGCAGTATTATTTTACCCGTCTCAAAATAAATGTCCACAATGAAAAATATATACAATTTTAAAAATATGTAATTAACATTTTTTTGTAACTAACTAAACGATAATTTTACCCTTGGTGAGCGTTTGGTTCACAGGATTCCGTCGGAATTTGATGTAATTGGAATGATCAATTTCATCGACCAAATTCCATTATGACGTTTGGTTAACCTATGGAATGAAATTGAATTCCATAAATTCCATCAACCATGGATTTCATCATTCCATCATAGTGAGGAAGGAATTGAATTTTATTCCACCCAATATTCTTAAAACGGCAAAATCTCCCTCATAATTAAACCCTAGAGTCCGATTAAAACTTGTGTCTCCCTCATTGACGTTTTCACAAACTCAACCACGATTTTCACATACTCGAATACTGTTCTCTCGATCTAGCTTAGAATTCTCCATCTTGTTGAGGACTCTCGACCGGTTTTTTGGCTTAACAAATCCGGGCCATATGATTCTCCTTTACCCTTACCTTCTTAATAACATAATGGGTAATGAATTTCCGTATTAATATGTAAGAGTAATTAAAAAAATAAATAATTATTTTTGAGCGTAAACATTTATTTTAAAACAAAGTATAATAACATTTATATTTGAAACGAATAAAATATATTTTAAATTATTCTTCTAGTAAACAATTGGATAATTTTCTTCCACAAATTTCGTTATGTTTTCAAACATGTATAATTTGTATTTTAATTTTCAACAAGTCTAAATAGCACCATCAGTTTGGCAACCTCATCTCTTTATTAATCAACCGCCTTCACTGTTATGATAAAGAATAAGTTGTATTAAAAGATAATGTTTTTTTTTTTTAACTTCATTTTGATACTACGACAAAGAAAAATTATAACATTATAATATATTCTCCTTGTTTCTTCATATCCTTATCTTCTCTTAATTGGATAAAAAAGATAAAAAAACCTAACCCTCAAAATAAAAATAAAAATAAATAAATAAACTAAAAGAATTCTTTATTATCAAACAAAAGACTTTAAAAATCCCCCGAAACAATGGAATTAAGTTGAAAACGCATCCAGCGATATTAAACGTTAGTAAAAACATGAAAACACGTCGATAAAAAACGTGTTTTTTGTAATTATTTGTTGTCTATATTATATGGTGTCATAGTATAAAAGAATTCATGGGTTCGTCCCTATAAAGGGCTGTTTGGTTGGTTTTCCATGTATCGATAAAACTGTATGTGTGGATTAACTTGTCTATATAAATTTGGAAGATTTTTGTTTGGTAGAGTTTTTTTCTTAGATGTAGAGAGCATGTTTTTTTTTTAATTGGAAAGACAGGTTTTGATTTTTTTTTTTTTTTACTTTTTTTGACTTTATGCATAAAGTTTTTCCCTGAAACTTAATAAACCACTTTCTAATCATTAATTCACTACCAAACAATCGTATATAGTTGTTCAAATAAGATGTTAGTCTCATTAAGCTGCTAACAAACAGGATCTAAGGGGCCGTTTACTAAAACGCTTACTCGGTAAGTACTTACCGGATAATTTTTCTCATCGGATGAACATGACAAAGGCTAAGAATCTTACCCGATAAGAGCGATGATAAGAATGAAGAGTCTTACCCGGTAAGTGAAGGTGACGACTTTTACCCGGGTAAGCGCTTACCAAGTAAATTGTTGTATAGGGGAAACGTTTTGATGTACTACAATCTTATCCAATAAAATAAATTATAATGTTGACTCCTAACATTAAGCAGTTACAGTGTAAGCATTTAGGTAAACAGCCCCTAAGAGTCTTTTTCCACAATTACCGTGTAAAATTATCGATCATTGTTATGCCTCTTACCAGATAAGATTCTCGA